ACCACGGGCTTCACCGACTTCTGGAAGGACATCTCGAAACCATCAGTACACGATAACTGGTCAACACAGGGTGTCAGCGTTAAACGGATCTCTCAGAAGCTATCAGAATTGAGGAAAGGACTTCTGCACCGCGAGCAATGGATGGGTCGGCACCGGGTAGACCTTGTCCCACTTAGGACATAAGTCGAATGGACTTAATGTTCCATATGTCAGAATATATTTGGGTGTTGCACTTCCCAACCCTGGCACACCAGGGCTGGGAAGAGTAACACCCAAATATATCTATTCAGGATACGGTCCTCGAGATCGGAGTGACCGATGTTTACCTCGAAGTGAGCCGAGGTCTCAATAGAGGTTGCGAGTCGCAACCCAACCACACAACGAGCTCCCTAGATGCAGCTTTGAATCTCCATATGTCAGCTTTAAATTGCTTTTAGCCTCTTGTAACATACTTGGAACCGATCGAGTAGTCATGAGTTCAGAGAGGTTTGAAAAAAATCGGTTTGGTATAGTAGTTTGGTTACCAAACTACTATACCAAACTGATTGTTTCCAAACCTCTCTGAACTCATGCTTTTAGCCTGTTCTCTTAACCTACTCACACAAACGCGCCTGTGTTACGTCTGTACCAAAAATCACTGACACTTATTGCTCTGAAGGCTTTCGCCCAATTACCGTGACTTCAGGCTTAATACCTATTATGAAATGAATTTTATTTGTTCTCTGAATTCCTGCTTTCCCACCTGACAGGTTTTAGTTTCACTTTCTTTAAAAAATGATTGTTTTGAGGCCCCACCTTATTACACTCCACCCTAAGTAATCCATACTTAAACGGTATTTCTTTATCTATTGCTTCTCGAGACATTTAAAAAGCTTGTGATTACGGTTTCAAGGTGCTGCTGTAGCAGTGTGCTCTTTCGGTTCTCGCTCTTTTTTCTACTTAACATAACGTCTTACTATGCCTCCGGAACCTCAACCAGGGCGTGAAGAACAAGAAGATCCACTTTCTTCTTTGATCTTTCTCATGACCTTTGGGAAAGCATTATACACGCGGTCTGCCACAATGTGTATTTCCCTAGCGGCACCAATCGAGTATATTGCCTCCTCAGGCGATGCGCTACGCTTTGCTTACAACAGAGGATACCTGATCGAACGTGTAGGCCGTTTTAGGGAGGATATACAGTAGCTTAGACTATCAACGTACCATATGAAACTGATAGTACTAGACAACAACGTCAACAAAAAAGGAAAAACGCTTCTTACTTAGAAAAATGTGCTACTCCCCTATAGTGCACTCCGAGGAATTTAGGCTACTTGGACTGCCATTTGATTGGAATGGTAAACGCCCGCCGAAGTCGTCAGGACAACTCAAAGCTAAACTATGAGAAAAATATCACCCACACTCAGGCGATTCAAGCAAATGAATATCTTGTACGCCTATATGTTACCATTTCATTCACATTGCCTCTCAATGGCGTTGGTTCATCGGCAAAACCTCAAATCAGTGGATAGGCTGGTCCGGGCAAGTGTACACAAATGGCAACGACTCCCCAAGGGACCCCTAGGGGTTCTGTGCCATTCTAGGATTATATCATAGATTCAGAAGCAACTCCAAAACGCCATCTTTTGCTTTCCCATCCAATTAGCAGCTGGGCAATTCAGCAACCTTAAGCGTCTACCATACAGCGCGTTGTCATGTAACCCACGGTCATTGATGAAGCGAGACCTCCTTGACAAATGTAACACAAAAGATACATAGAGGCACTCACCACTACGACCTGTGAAATGCTCTTTACATCAAAACGTAATTAGGATGTCAGCGGTTCCGAATTGGCTAAGAAACCCCGAGAGAATATTTCCTAGACTTTACCTCTTAGGAACCGATCTTCGAGCAAGTGTGCTGCCGACGATATCTCGACACTCCAGGGAACGACACCCACAAACCCAGTCAATCTTCACTGCTGTGTTGCATGCGGAAAAAAGAAACACTTTATCACTCTTGTAGTATTATGCGGCAACCCACAACGCTCGCTGTAAGAGACACAACGATAGCATGAAGCGGCTAACACACAACCCTTCATCACAAAGAGGCCCAAATCATCCCGGAGCCATGCAGCGCAGCGGTATCGACGTACGTCAAGCCGGACTTAACCGCCATCAATAACTACACAGCACACATAATGGACGGGGCAATATGCGACGCCTAAAGAATGACCCTTAGCTACCAATCTAAGGTCAACAAATATGGTGTAGTTGCCCATGCGGAAGCCACAGCCCGGTTTATGGGCTCGGAATTCCCTACAGCATGAAATATCATGCATCATGTAATCATTATCAACATACAGGGCCATATATTACAGGAACCAACCAAGTACATTTCTGCACTGAGGAAACAAATTTTGACAGCCCATAGATTGTACACACCTACATGCGAGGTACAATGTCACAAAGCATCTTAAACTAACAATGCACACCCAGATTTGCGAACAGTTCCGACTAACTGTTGCTGTTAACATGATCGCTGTTTAGCTCCTACGTCAAGATTTTTGTACAACCCCGGTTAATTTGTATGATTTCAAGGCCTTGTAACATGTATGAATTTGCCGAAAAATATATTCATAGACTGCGATCGCATTAAAGTGTATCTTGGTCAATCCGATCACTGAAATCGTAACTGATGAAGAAGAGGGATATCGGGAGTTGCCTGCACGAAAACAATACACTCCACAACCGGCTACCAACTATTTGATCTCACCGGGTGTCAATAACAAGCACGTGAATACGGAGCCTGGTTGAGCCTGTGTCGCAATGTGCCCATATGAGTGATTGTAAATGAACCCATCAATCCTCCACTAACCGTTGTGACAAGCGTTACCCAATTCTAATCGGTGGCTTAGAGGTATATATTTCTGCAGACATCCTAGAGATCCTGAGTTTCAAATGCCTTCTATCATCACTTGAGGAGAGCAAACATTTTGAAGCCGTTCGTGTATTGTGATGCTTTTTGGTGGTTAACACACCAGTTTCATTTGCTGAATGACGGTTTGTGTGAGTTTGACACTATCCAATTTTTTAGAATTTCAATATCACATCGAGAAATATTGGTCACAAGTGGTTACTGTTTTGCACCTGGAATAATGGTTCTGGCCAGCACTTCTGAATATAACCTTTTACACCATACTTCCGATTATAAATAATACTCCACTGTTTTCTGAAACAGCGAAAACAGCTAGGCGTAAAAGCGAACGGTTGGTGGCAGATGATTCCATCCGCTGCAGAATCTACTGGAAAACCCTGCGCGTTTCGAGAGTCACGTGTTAAGTCATTCGGTTAGCAATCAGATAACGTTTTGTCTATTCAAATCACCTACATTGTCAAACGAGCTACCAAAGTAACTGATGCACGGCTGCCGGGTATGAACTGGATATTAAAGTGCACACAGTTTGCGCTGATGTACTCTATGTTGTTTGCGCAATGGTAAACCTTATCTTCCCTCATCAATAGTCGTAATGGACACCCAATGTAGAACACGTGGTGGACATAAGTGTTGATATCAAATAGTGCACCTTTCATTAAAAAGTTAGGTGTTGTAACAAGATAGCCATACTCAGCGTACACAAAGTTCGAACAAAACAGTTACCTGGTAGAATAGTGGACGGGAGAGTTTGTTGCGCACGGAAGTAGAAAAAGCTCTAGGCACTCGATCTTTGTTAAAACTAAACAGGAATATTTGTCAGAGATATAAGGTAGAGGGTCACACAATATATCCTGTTTACAAACTGTAAAATACAATAGGTGATTCTCAGAATGTGGGCTTATAACAGATGCATTATTAACCCTGGTGCTAGCAAGCCTTTCTGTCGAGCGATACTTTCAGTAAGGAGTAGTTTTTGACACCATGTGTTTTAACCGGTTAAAACATGGTGTCTAGTGAGCTGGGTTCCATTTGCTTCATACAAACGCTCTCTGCCTTTGTCTTATCCCACCCTAGCTAATGCCATTGAATACACAAGTGCATAAAAAAGCAAATTGGCTGAAACAGCTTTAAAGGCATAATACAAACTGCATATCTATGGAGTACAACTCGGTCAAAAGTCCAAAACCGATAGAAAAATTTTATGCACTATGCTGTTAACTAACTAGTACTGGCTTAAGGAATTCTAAGTTTTCAATTAGTCCGGTTATTTTTCTGTTTGGTATAAATAAAGGATGATTTCTCTTAACTCCATCGATTCAATGCTGTATCATACTGCAAACTCCGGCTTGCTAGGTTGCATAACAAAGGTAAACGCCTTGACACAATCACTGTTTTTGCCAGGTCATTTTTTGTCACGGTCGTTTTGAACATTAGCTTAACCTTTATAAAAACAACGTATTTATTGTCTGCGCAACGCTCGTAATACGCTCCAGTTTAAGCCCCTTTAGAACACTGTAGACAAGTAACGGAACGTTTTCTTCGAATTAACACATTTATCTGATGACGCACCGTTATTTCAATAGACAGGCGTATTTCCTAACTCAGACTCTATGGTTAAAGCAGATTTTCAACTGACACTGTTAACGATTTATGGAAAAGACTGAGGACTACATTACGTGTATTTCGGATGCGCACAATCTTATGCGTACATCCAGGTTAGTCATACAGCTGCCTTCTCGATAGGCACTTGTAAATGTGTAGATCAACAGTTAATGTTACTTTATCAAGTTAATTTAGTAATTGTGCTCATCCGAGTAGATGGCTATTAGCCAGAAACACCAATAAGCAGCAGCCAACCAACATTTCACCAGCGGCCTGAAGAATACGCTATTGATCTTCAGCATGAACCCAGCAGCTGCACACTAGCACAATAATTCTCCAATGGATGTAGTGAAATCGATGAGATTGTTGAATGTTAGCTGATAAGAATGTGCCGGGTATTTCTCACGGCTGTCTGCCCTACAGTAGACCTGTGTTGTAACGCTCTCTGCAATCCACTCGTTAGTAACAATTTGTACTCGCAAATGCATTCAACTGCAGTTGGTGCGGAATTACCACTGTTTCCGATGATGAAGATAGATTTGAGTAGGAGGGACAAACGTAACTACAGGTTAGTCAAATTTTGGGGACGATTGTTCATGTCAATTGAAATTATCATCTCACTTACTGACATCTAGAACGTGCTGGCTTTTCATTGGGTCTCTGCACGAAGCTGTTGAATAGTTGAGCTATATAAACTACTTAGCATGCCAGTAGAAGCCACGCAACTAATTACCTCAAGCGCAAAGTTTCTCATTTAAAATTAACTAGTTGCAGTTCATCTAATCGATAAGTTAGGCCAATTCGGCTACACTATTACATAACAGCTTCAATGAGACTTTCAGAGTAACTTTATTTAGGATTGCAATGGTGTATGCATTAACATTAGTAGATGTTGATTTTACTTGTGCTAAAAATGGAATTCCAGTTCTGATCCTTCAGATAAACGTTAACAGTTAGCAACATGTTGTTCTCATTATTTAAACTAAGAGCTAATCTACACCAACAGTACTTTTGATCTGCATATATTTTTGTTTTAACTGATTCGGGCAATTCGGTTTTATTGGTTTACATGATGAAAGCAACTAATTGGAGAAAGAGAATGCAAATGTCCCAAAGAAAATGTTGGTGCCTTGGCAATTCAGACATTGTTAAAGAAACGCTACTTTCCTCACACAACTTCTCAAGTGAACTGTGAAATTTAAAAAATGGCCTTTAATTCTTGACTATTTCCGGTCTATTCGAGAGGATTCAGCAAAACAATTTCCATGTTTTGCGGCAGGGATCCTATAGAGTAAACCTTTGAGTAGTTCCACAGGAAGGTAGTTGGACTATGTAGTTGATACGCAGTGAAGTTTGGCTTTAATATATATCATACATCGAAAATACTTCGCATCAAAAATTGTTTATTTGTCAAAAAGGTAATGGAAGGTTATATGATTTCCAGGTATCTTTTGTGAATTATGCTAAGTTAAAAATATTTAATTACACTAACTATCAGTGGGCAGTCACACTGCTCCCAGTTCTAGAACTGAGGGCTGTGCATAATCTTACGAATTATCCCTACCCATATCGTCAATGCGAGTATGTCTTATTGGGTACAGTGTTGATAAAGAGCAGACGACAAGAAATTTTGGTCATAAAACGTATCGTCATGCATTCTTGAACCTTAATTCATAGGAGTTACCTGATTACTAACTAATATTCCTTCATGATTTGTATAAAGATTCCACGAGTTGAAGAATGGCCTGCGCCTTCTACTTGTATCAGACTCTGCTAATGGTTTGAAACAGGATGATTCCCTGAACCCAGTCTCACTTCCGACCAGTGAGTCAGTAAGTTTCTCCATTCTATTTGGTACGCCTTCCTAGTAAGCTCACTTGTTTTGGCTATATTTGTCGTTAAGGTTAACCCATAGCAAATTGGAAAGCAGCGTAAGTTCTTCAAATTATCATAGGTAAGGTATTTCAGTGTAACCACGTGTCATTTAAAAATGGAACAGTCATGTAATGTATTAAGGAAGACAGTGAGTTAATGCGCAGAATTTTGTACTCAGTAAATATCATTCAAGCGCACTGTCTTAGTCAAATACTATGTTTGTTCAATTATACACATTGCGCCTCCTGTAACGAACAACTTCAGAAAATAATAAATAAATGCATCTTACTGATTCGATAGAGCAGATTATATACCAGATAGTCCAACACCTGTTCGGAAACGTATTCACTGATCGTTGCGCTCCATTGCAGTTGGTCACTTGTGCTTGTTCCCTCGCTTCTCTGCTGAGGATCGAACCTATGTTCCGTAGCAACCCACACACCAACTAACCAGCAGCTTGTGCTACTGATCCCTTGAGACAGAGACATACCGTTTGAACCGGTAAGTTATCTGGGATATAACACAACTTATCCTCCACTGCACTGCTAGCTACTACCATAAATAAATTGTTTATTTTCGAAGTGCAGGCGACACGCCTAAAAGACATAATCGGTTAACTACAGAAATGTCGATGAGCATAAGATGTTGCGTGTTTATTAACCAGCCGGATAATATACTGATAAATAATAATGACAGTGCGTAGGTACCAGATCAAATGATTCTGAAGTCTGCTTAAAGAAAAGACATGCTAATTTTATCCTTCATAATATTGTCGGAGTAAATTTACAGTATGCTGGTGATATTGGAATAGCAGGATTGCATTATGCTTCCAAAACAGAACTGAATCACTTGCAGTCAACTGGGCGTCATAGCAACAAGTTAACAAACTGGATTGATATTTCCGTTATGATGGAACATGCGGCGGAACGGGATCGGCATCTGATAGGTCTGTAAAGGTCGCATTTTGTGAGGATGAGATGGCAGAGCAATAATGTGTCCAAACCGGGGCCATGAAACACCAAGAGATGACTTGCTTACTGTCATTCTGACACTGAGACAGATAAGGATTCTGTCACAGACAGCGATTGGTGGTCCTACAGATAGGGAAGCATAGCAACCACTCATATGCAAGTGAAACCTGTAACTCGAGGGAATGTAAAGTGCAAGGTTTTATCCTCCAAATGCAAATAGAAGAGCTTACATAACATCACCGGTTTGATTACAGAGAATTAGTATATAATTGATCTTTCGGAAATAGGAGGAAACACCTATTTCAGACAGAGATGGTACTGTGAAATCCGCGCAAGGATATGCGAAAGGTTGCAACCGTCTGTGATCGCTTTGACTGCAAACGCACCTTTTGCATACAAACGCGTAAATATAAATGGGACAAAAGAACATTTATGGTCGCAGGTGGTAGATCAACTAAAATGGATTCTCCCAGACTTCTGAGTGGTATGTCGTTGTATTGTCAGAGAACGCGATACTCATTTAGTAATGTGTATTAACGAAATGTATGTAAAACCGGACAAAAACAAATGCAAATAGCACAAAACTATTGCATGTGATGGTCGAAAACAGTGTGATTTATAAGAGGTAGGTTTTTCACAAGTGTTGCATGTTGTGTCGGCCGGGCGAGAACAGGGTTCTTTTATCCAAAACAAACAAAAGCTTTGTGGGTTTTTGTGGCAACATGTCAAATTTGTGAATACCCACCTGCCCATTTGACTAAAAAGAGGATTTTGGTTTGCTTTTTTGTGACATCATCTGACTTCAGCTGAAAAAGCCCTCGATTTTACTCGTATTAGGTTGGTCCTAACCCTAGCAGAAACAAAGGTATATGACGGATGAAAAAGCACCAGTTGAACTTATCCCAAAGGCTGGTAATGGAAAGATTTGCATGTTTGTACACAACATAGGTGAATCAAATGCAATACACATAAGTATATCTATAGATTAATTGTATAAAAGTAATAGGCTTGTCCTGGTAAGGGATCTTGCAAAACGGATTAACAAATAATTATGGGTAATACTTATTGCAAGTAACAAGCAGATTGCTCACCGTTCTGCACAGATTTACCTGTGTCACGCTGGGTCATAATTCCAACGAGCCTAGTTAGCCTGAATACACACAGAATATCCGTCCATGTATCGAAGTGTAGGGTATGCAATTCGATATCCAATCGTTTTAAAAGTACTGGAATGGAGTCAAAATAACGGAGTTTGGATAGGCGTTCCAGGGTTGGTAAACCCGGAGGGCGAAATAAGTTGATCGGTAATCTAGACGACTGTATTGTTTACTCAGTTTCGAACAATCACCCCTTGGGTTGGTGTTTGGGCTGAGTTTCAAAAGGCGGCGGGCTAGGTGACAGGGGTTGCTCAGTATTTGGTATAATAATATGATGTGTCCACGTTGCCACCATTAGCATCCAACGAAAACTCTGAGTGTCGTCCGTAATTCTTAATACGGAGGTTGCACAAACGGTTGCCGTTTTTGCTGCACGTAATTACGGGGAATCGAAACCTGTGAGATCACGCCTTAGCCAAGCTTGCCAAGCCTGTATAGCATATTCGACGTAAGGACTTACGTAGGCATTGTGCATCAGAGGAAAGATAGATGAATCCAAACTCCTGAGTGCCTTCCTCATGTGAGCAACATGCTGCTTACCTTTTTTGATGTGGACTCTCAATGTCTGGAACAACTGAGGTCGTCCTCTACCAACACAACGAGGTCATGCTCCAGAGTGTTGGTCTTCAGATCGTGCTCCCCAGGCTTATAGACGTACACATGTCGATCGAGGATGCGGATGACGCTGCAATTTTCCACACGGAATGGCGGTGCGTTCCTCATCAATCACATCCAGGCTTCATCCAAGTCGCGCTGGAGGACTTCGTGGTTGTCCAATCTCTTGATCGTTCGCCAAACTCTAACCTCTTCCGCGAAAAGTAAATATTTTTAGGAGATGAATCCCGCTGGATCGATAATGAAAACTAAGAACAAGCGGGGATAAAATATCGAACACTGCGATACACCACACTCCACTCGAATCAGGTAGGGCAAAGATATCCGAACTCTAAAATCTAATCGCCATTCGCGGTAAGTTACGCATCCAGCCTAATATTGGATCTCCGATACCTTAGTGCCGCACTTCGTGAAGCAGGATTTGATGACCAAAGTGACTGAACTCATTTGAAACGGCTAATTACATTAATTCAGTTCCTGGACCTTCATTGATTGTTTCGGTCCAATTCTCGTGTGATGTCAGCAGGTACGCGGTTCAGAAATTACACTAATGAACGGCACCGATTTATATTGGTTTTTGCACAAAATGTTTACAATGCAAAGAACTGGTTTTAAAAATTAAAGCGAATCAACCGAACATCTTATTGTTTCTTCGCATTGCTAGCTACGCAAAACATTGCATAAAGAATGCTTCGGGTTTCGTCATACGATAATCTCGATATAACATGTCATAGCTTAGGAAAGTAATTTATGAGCAGCAACGTACGACCTCTGGAGCAAGCGAGTCTGGCCAACACCTTGAAACTCACCACACTGGGCATCATTGTTCGAACACCTAACCTGGACAGAATTGAGAGCAATCACCATAGCTCGCGCATACGCTTCCGATCTGTCCGATAACGTATTTTGTTCACATTATCCACCAATTTAATAATATTAATAAGCTAGAAGCAATGCACCAGAACACAGTTTGTTTCAATAATGTCGGTAGCTTGCTTGGTTTTTCACTTTAGGCGAGCCAACCGTGGTAGGGATACTCTGATCAAATCTCAGATGATCCATTAATGACAGCAATGAACAGCCGAGGCCCAAGTACCAGACGCTGCGGTACACCACACTTAACTAGAATCTGGCACAAAAATAGATTTAGAGACCAACCTCTATCTACCGTTCTCCAAACAATTTATCGACCCATACTAATAGTGTATCTCAGGTGCCATAATGCTGAAGTTTGTGAAGCAGGATAAGATGATCCAAGCTATCTAATGCTTTTGAAAGTCAAGGTAGATCATATTAATGCCTGTCTCCTCGTCAACTGCGTCGGTCCAGTTATGGCATGCTAGAAGCAGCTTCATGTTAAATGATGATAGTTAAGGAAACACGTACTGCTCCGGCTCGATAATGACGTCGCCTTACAGGTAGCCCACCAGCGTATCTGCAATGATCGTTTTTATGATCTTGGCAAGCACAGGGGGTAGCGTTACCAGGTGGTAATTGGCAGGCTCAGCTTGATTTCTCTCCTGGTGAATCGGGGTAGTAATACCTTGTTTACACTTTGACTGAAATATGTTCTCATGTGGGTAACACTGAAGCAATCCACCTAGTGGTTCAACTATGTGTATAGCTACCATCTGCAGAGATTTGGGGTCAATGTTAATCTATCCAGGAGAGGTGTGCGCGCGCAAGGATAGCAGGTATTTCAGCACCGTTTCCTCCGTGATTGCGACGTCGCTTAACTCTAACGCGTGCAGTTCGAAGCTTGTGCCCCTTGGAAAGTAGATGAGTACTGATATCGTAATCCTTTGGTAGCCTCTCTCGCCGTATGTTTGTACCCACCAAACGTGGTGAGTTACGGGATGCTACGCTGCATCTTGCGAAATGTATTGACATGTTTGTAAAGGGGGTTTTGATTAGCAAAACACCATTCAGTCCGCTCCTGTTTTTGTGTTGTCATAACGAACCAAGTGAAAACAGTAGTTATGTTTAGCTATGTACATTGT